TATATATATATATATATATATATATATATATATATATATATTAGCTCCACTAATTGTAGAAACGCTGCAATAAATAAAACTAAAACAGCGCACACCTTCGCATACGAATATATTCAATTTAACAAACCGGTCCTCCACTATACATATATTCTACAAAAACCTTAAGCCTTTCATTATAGATCAGAAAATTTGAAGCCGGAGAAAATGGCGATAGGGAGCTTAGCTAGACGAAAGGCCACAACAATTTTATCTTCTAGATATCTCTATAGTACATCCAAATATTCATTTTCTCTAAGCAGAAATTACTCTTCGGGATCTGATGAAAATGATGTCGTTGTTATCGGCGGTGGACCCGGCGGCTATGTGGCGGCGATTAAAGCTGCACAACTTGGGCTCAAAACTACTTGTATTGAGAAACGGGGTACCCTTGGTGGTACCTGTCTCAATGTCGGTTGTATTCCTTCTAAGGTAATTGTTTTTGACTATTTATTTAGATTTTTTAAAAATTTCTTAGATCTATTGATTTTGCTATTACTCGTTTTGAAATTCTGTTGATTTTTGCGATAGTATGTGAAAATTCAGATTTTCGTTATGGCTTTAATTAGCGTGAAGATGATTATGTCGATTGTAAGTATTGTGCTATTGAAAATCGAGCTTAAAATTCGTTTTTGCAGTATTCTTTTTGTTAACTTGTGATTTACATTTCAGACCGTTGTCAAATAGCAGTTTGATATTTTAGTGATTATATAAATGGATAGTAGATGTTTCTATAATGTGAGCTTTGGGAGCGATTGAAATCATTTGGTATGATGCAAGTCATTTTTTGTAGAAAATGTTATTCGTGTTTTCATAGAAAATGTTTTCCTTGGAATGTTTGGTTAGTAAGTGAAAAACATTTTTTAACAAAAGTCAATACATATAGTATATTTATTTGATGAATTTTTTTGACAAAACATATATATCAAAGATTATTAATAAAATTAGCAAATTAGAAAGTGTTTTGTCAATCTTTTGAGTATTTAAGACCAATAATAATGTCTAATTGTTTGGTGGAATAAGTACTATGAAGTTAAGATAGTTGAAAAGAGGGAAGTCGTTTCCCCTATGAAAAATGTTGTAATCCCAGGAAACGTTATACCATCTTTTGTAGTACCTTTTTTAGAAGTTCTGTTTTTCGAAAGCATCGCAATTGGTCCTCCTACAAGGTGGAGATATGGAATTGGTTTTCTTCCTTTTCTTTAGCCGCAACAGAGGCAAACTTAACTTTTCATCAAGTGTCAAAGCCATCCATACAGGAAAAGGAAAAATAAGAAAGACCACCAAATAGTGTATCTGTATATAATTTCTGACTATCCAGCTGTGAGATGTTAATTATATATATTTTTTGGTTGATAAAAGAGAAAGGAAATTGTAATTATCTCTGAAGATGCTAATATCAGACATAAGCTGCATAGTGAATGATATGTTATTTTCTGCAATTTCTACTTGAACTACTTGATCTATAGAAGATTGAGCGTCTTTTGTAGAGAATCATGTTTTGATGTAAATTCTCTACTTTTTGGTATACTTCTTGTATACGGGAGTTTTTTCTCCCTTTTGATTAATACAATTTACCTTATCAAAAAAAAAAAGTTATCATCCAAATGTGAGATAAAATAAAATAAAATAAAAGCTAGATCTAAATTGAGTGATATGGTAGTATTTTTTTGATAAGGTAAAGGTTTTGAGTGATATGAAAGTATTAGAAGGGGATACTGGAAATGCTGATTTCCAGTTGATGAGTTGATTTGTGACTTACATATAGAAGTAAAGGTACCTTGCATAATTAACAGTGGAATTATTTTAGTTAATGAGAGTGATATTGTTCTTTTGAATGTGACTAGAAGCAGACGTCAGTTGTGGGAAATTACTGGAAGGGTACTGGATATTCTGATTTTGCAATTGACCAGTTGACTTGTAACTTACATATAGAACTATAGGTACCTAGGTATTTTGTACTTCAAACTTCTTCATTTTTTCTAAATTTAAAGTTTAAAATGTGGCAGTTCTCCTTTGAATAGTTCTAGTGATGTTAATTAAAGATCAGAAGTTCTGGTTGACCTGCCATAAATGAGGTATACTCTCTTGATGTAGATTTTAATCTTAGTGAAAGTTTTTTCTTGCAAATACTTAGTAGACTTATCTTTCTTCTATTTTTCGTCAAAGGATTGAAGGTTAATAATGTTTGCAGTGTTGTGCATTCTTCCCATGATTTGGCTGCTTAGCAAGACATATTTTAAGTGATACTTTAAACTGCAGTATATGTGCACAACTTTTCCCATATGGCTAACTCCGTCTCTTTGATTCCCTTAGAATGTGACATGCTTGAGGCTTCTCCTGTTCAGTGTTCTTAAAAGCAAAAATCGCAAAAAAGCGACATGGTTAATGGGGCTTGTAATGAAAAGCGAGAATTAAAGTGCACGCTTCTTTGAAGTGCACATTTCTCAGCTTTGCCCATGAAGAGATAACCCCTCGGCCCTCGCTTCGCAAATCGTTTCATCGCTTCAAGTGACAAACTGATGGCTTTTAATAACATTGCTCCTGTTGTGAATCCAAAGACATAACTTCCCTGAGAGACCATTTTGATTGGAAATCATATATAACCTAGTGTGCAATAGGTTAACCATAGGTTTCCATTGGGTGCATATTTATCTTATGATCTCTCTCCTAATGATCCTAAACTATATAGTTAGTTCTAGTAGGTTGCTAGTTGTCATTCTGTTTTTGTGACATCATGCACTTAAGGTCATTCTTCTGCATAGTAAGTTAACAACGGTACTCTGAAAATAAATTTGGTAGAGTAGTGCTTGAGTTATGCCTACGTATCTTGTCAATGAGTGTGCTCGAAGCTTTGTGGTCAGCTTTTGAGGTAATTCTTCATGTTTATTCTTTCTGCTTTTCATGTGTAGGCACTTCTTCATTCCTCCCACATGTACCATGAAGCTCAACATTCATTTGCTAGTCATGGCGTGAAGTTCTCTTCTGTTGAGGTAGATCTTCCTGCCATGATGGGCCAAAAAGATAAAGCTGTGGCTAACTTAACACGAGGTATTGAGGGTCTATTCAAGAAGAACAAAGTAAACTATGTTAAGGGCTACGGCAAATTCCTGTCTCCTTCTGAAGTTTCTGTTGACACTGTGGAAGGTGGTAATACTGTTGTTAAGGGGAAGAATATTATAATTGCGACTGGTTCTGATGTCAAAAGTCTACCTGGTCTAACCATTGATGAGAAGAGAATTGTATCTTCCACTGGAGCTTTAGCTTTGACCGAAGTTCCAAAAAAATTGGTTGTTATTGGTGCTGGCTACATAGGCCTTGAAATGGGATCTGTCTGGGGCCGTCTTGGCTCAGAGGTGACTGTTGTTGAATTTGGACCTGATATTGTTCCATCCATGGATGGTGAAGTTCGCAAGCAATTCCAACGTTCTCTTGAGAAGCAAAAGATGAAGTTCATACTTAAAACTAAGGTGGTGTCAGTTGAGACTGTTGGCGATGGTGTGAAGTTGACCCTTGAACCTGCAGCTGGTGGTGATCAAACTACTCTTGAGGCTGATGTTGTTCTTGTTTCTGCTGGTAGGATTCCATTCACTTCTGGGCTTGGATTGGACAAGATAGGGGTTGAAACTGACAAGGCTGGTCGAATCCTGGTCAATGAACGTTTTGCAACTAATGTCCCGGGGGTACACGCGATTGGTGATGTCATTCCTGGGCCAATGCTGGCTCACAAGGCAGAGGAGGATGGTGTTGCTTGTGTAGAATTCATTGCTGGCAAAGAGGGTCATGTGGACTACGATTTGGTTCCTGGTGTTGTTTACACGCACCCAGAGGTGGCTTCTGTTGGGAAAACCGAAGAACAAGTTAAGGCACTTGGAGTTGATTATCGCGTAGGCAAATTTCCTTTCCTTGCAAACAGTAGGGCCAAGGCAATTGATGATGCTGAGGGAATTGTAAAGGTACTTGCTGAGAAGGAGACCGACAAGATCTTGGGTGTCCATATTATGTCACCAAATGCAGGAGAGCTTATTCACGAGGCTGTCCTGGCTTTGCATTATGGAGCATCAAGTGAGGACATTGCTCGAACATGCCATGCACATCCAACAATGAGTGAGGCTCTGAAAGAAGCAGCCATGGCCACTTACGACAAGCCCATTCACATATAAAAATAGTGTCATATCCTTGTTTTTGTTTTTCCTCCGAGTATCTTGGATACTTGGAGCAGATTTTCTAATTGCCACCTCATCACTCAAGTATATCTTGAACAGAAATTTCCTTCCTCTTCTCTCTTAATTTATTATCCAAAGTACTTCCAACTTAATGTTTCTGTTCTGCATATTCATATCTGTAATAAAGTCAGGAGCTGTATGTCGAGTTTAAATGCCATTAATTTGAGTTTCATTGAGTTTTGATCAGCGTTGAGCGATTTTGCTTTATCCACATATAAGAGGAAGATTTTTAACATGTATATTCAAATAACTTTTGCATGGATGAGGGGCCATTTTAGAGAAGATGGACTATAACTTTCTTGTTGAATGTTTTTAACTTTGCAGAAAAAAGAGCTCTAATTGGCGTCAAACTGTGGACAGGTGATTTTTGCTTTGTTAGCCAATTGTATACCATTGCTTGTTCCTTTTGGCCATCAATTATTAACATGGATTGTTGAAATGAGTATATTGTGCCAAAGTTTCTAATGTGAATCCAAATTAGTCGAGCTAATAAGCTTCTCACAGCGAATGGTTAGAACCAAAAAAGAGTATATTTTGTCAAACAGAAGTACAATTTCTACACCAGATTATCTTTTTAATTGGTTGAAAAGGGATACATTTGGATACCCGCAAGTCACTTAGCATGGTTTGTCCATCACTATTCGAAGTGCTATTTACTAGTCTCTCTCGGATAGCAGCAAGTAGCAATAACTATTTGGTTATTGTATTCAAGTAACCTCCACTTCCAACCAAGAGATTGTGAGTTCGAGTTTCCCAAGAGCAAGGTGTGAAGTTCTTGGAGGGAAGGATGCCGATGGTCTATTTGGAAATAGCCTCTCTACCCCAGGATAGGGTTAAGGTCTGCGTACACACTACCCTCCCCAGACCCCACTAAGTGGAATTATACTGGGTTGTTGTTGTATTCAAGTCTTTATTTTCAATTGTTTTTTTTGGTTGGTTGCCTTTGAGATTTGTTCACACGAAGTAAATGATCCATGGCATTCATGTTGCACATGAACAATGAATGTGTTCTCCCTTTTATGTAAAAAAAGGAGGTATTGGAAACACTTAGGGATCGTTTGTTATGCGGAATAAATTATTCCGGGATTATAGTCTTGGGCCTATAATCCCTAGACTAGTTTATCCCATTTAATGACCTGGTTGTTCGTTCTGAGAGTTATAGCCCAATTTCCCCTATCTATAGTTATTTATGTGTTGTTCAGCCGTGTTGAGTTGTATCGAGTTGGTAGGTTTGAGTTCGGAGTAATTTCGGAGTGAAATGAACACTTAGTCTCTTAGTTAGAAAGTTAAGTTAGAAAAGTCAATCGGAAGTTGACTTATGAGTAAACGAATTCGGATTTGGATTTTTATGATTCAATTAGCTTCGTTGGGTGATTTTAGATTTATGAGTGTGTCCGGAATGTAATTTGAAGGTCCGTGGTAGAATTAGGCTTGAATTGGCGAAAGTTGGAAGTTTAGAAGTTTTTAGGCTTGAATTCGAGGTTGATTTGGTGTTGTTTTGGGTGTTCTTGAGGTTCGACTAAGTTCGGGTAGTGATATATGTCTTGTTGGAATTATTGGTTGAGGTCCCGAGGACTTCGAGTGAGTTTCAGAGAGGTTTGAGTTGTGTTGCGCTCGTTTTTCTTATGTTTCGACGCCGTTTCTTCAAGCATAAATGATATCATATTGAATAAATGAGCTTCAATTTCTTTTTTGATTGAAGCATTCGATCCGTATCGTAATTATAGACCGGTAACAAAAAGAATCGTCGAATTTGGACATCGTATGAGGATTTTAGGGTCATTTTACTAAGAATTAGGTTGTCAGATTTTTTCAGATTAATTACGAAATTGCCACTAGCAGCGTATTTAAAAATCTGCACTATTTGCAAATATTAAAACCTACATATCTCATTCATTATAAGGTCAAATTGAGTAATTCAAAAGCCTAACTTGACTATAATTTCACAAGGAATACATTGGAGGCATAAACTATGATATTTCAGGATCGTTTGACATGAGAAACGAGACAGAATAGCTGGCAGAAAATATATAAAACTAAGGTTTGTTCATTCGGTCATATTTTGAGTTGGGGAGCACGAATTTGGGCGATTTTGGAGGCGATTTTCACCATATGGATTGGGATTCGGAGCTTTTGGAGACCGAGCCCAGAGACGAGGGCATCCCGAAGTAGGATTTTATGTGGTTGAGGTAAGTAACAGTTTTAACTCTGGCTTTGAGGATGTAAACCTGGAGAAATTGATATCATGTGATTATTTGGTGGTGATACCCACGCTAGGTGACGGGCGTGTGGGTGTGCACCGCGAGGGATTGAGACTTGGTCCGTCCCGTAAGGCTGCGAGGCCTAATAGCTATTATCTGTGGTTATGTGTTTACTTGTTGTTGAACTTGTTTGCCTTCATGTTAGAGATCATGCTTAGGCTTTATTCATGCTCACATTATTTGTACTCAGTCATAGAAATTATTGTACATGTTTACCCCAGTCTCTATTATTTGCTAATATGCTGTGATACTTGATGTGGGCTATGTTCCCTTATTTGTTGATGATGGTGAGGCTAGTGAGGTACATGATTGAGTGAGGCCGATGACCTGGTTGTGAGGATATTAATACCATAGCGCGTGAACTGTCCGCGTAACACGTGTGCTGACCATGCAGGTCCAGGTATTTATACCATAGCGTGTAAGTTATCTGCGTAGCACATGAGTTGACCGTGCGGATCCAGGTATTGATATGATGGCATGATTGAGTGAGGCCGATGACCTGGTTGTGAGGATATTAATACCATAGCGCGTGAGTTGTCCGCGTAGCACGTGAGTTGACCGTGCGAGTCCAGATATTGATACCATAGCGTGTGAGTTGTCCGCGTAGCACGTGAGTTGACCGTGCAGATCCAGGTATTGATATGATGACACATGAGTTGTCTGTGCTTAGCGCTTGGGCTTTGGGAGCTCCTCCGAAGTCTGTACACACCCCCAGTGAGCGTAGAATGTTGAGTGTATTGAGTGTTGAGTGTTGAGTGCTGAGTGCGAGTGCTGAGTGATGGAGTGACATTTTTATGAAGTTGCATTTACTTTTGTTGTTGCTGCATTTATCTGTTAAATTTCTTTGTGGTATTTACTGAGTTATGAAATTTACCTGTTTATTCATGTTTATTTTCTTAAAATTGTGAAAATAAATAGTTGAACTGTTTTACTTAGCTCGTCACTATTGCTCAGTTCCTTAGTTATTTCTATTACTACTGAAGTGGTTGTACTCATATTACACCCTGCTCTTTATGTGCAGATCCAAGTGAGTTAGAGCGCGGTGATCCTTGAGTTCATGCCGACTATCTTTGGAGACTGCAAGGTAGCTGCTAGCATCCGCAGGACCTTGTTACTCCTCTTGTCATTTCTTCTTTTGGACAGTTAGATAGTTTATATTTCTTAGTTCACCGTTTTAGATGCTCATGACTTAGTGACACCCCGATGTTTGGGACTCGTTTCTATATTTTATATTAATTATATTTAGAGTAGATTTAGTTTATGAGAAATTCAAATGTTGAAATGTTTTATTAAACTTTTATAATTGATTTAGTAGTAGTATTTTGGGAAATAGGCTTGCCTTGTAACAAGATAGGCGCCATCATGACCATGGTTAGATTTTGGGTCGTAACATCCCACCTCGAAGGTGGGATAAAATAATACCAAGTTTGATGGGATAAGATGGGAAATCCAGACCTTATCCTGCGTACCAAACGACCTCTAGAATCTATCTAGGATAAGAGACCCTTTCTCTTAACCCAACTACATAACAAAATCTGAGTTTATTAACGCGCTTATTCTGTTCATCATTCATTCCCCGG